AAAGAATGTCCAATGGAAAAAAGACAGTCTCTTCAACAAATGGTGTTGGGAAAATTGGACAGCCACATGCAGAAGAATGAAACTGCACCATTTCCTTACATCACACACAAAAATAGACTCCAAATGGTTGAAAGATCTCAGTGTGAGACAGGAGTCCATCAAAATCCTAAAGGAGAACACAGGCAGCAACCTCTTTGACCTCAGCCACAGTCACTGCTTCCTAGAAACATTACCAAAGGCAAGGGAAGCAAAGGCAAAAATGAACTATTGGGACTTCATCAAGATAAAAAGCTTTTGCACAGCAAAAGAAACAGTCAACAAAACTAAAAGATAACCGACAGATTGAGAGAAGATATTTGCAAATGACATATCAGATAAAGGGCTAGTATCCAAAATCGATAAAGAACTTATCAAACTCAACACCCAAAGAACAAATGATCCAATCAAGAAATGGGCAGAAGACATGAACAGACATTTTTCCAAAGAAGACATCAAAATGGCCAACAGACACATGAAAAGGTGCTCAACATCGCTCGGCATCAGGGAAATCCAAATCAAAACCTCAATGTGATACTACCTCACACCAGTCAGAATGGCTAAAATCAACAAGTCAGGAAATGACAGATCTTGGCAGGGGTGCAGAGAAAGGGGAACCCTCTTACACTGTTGGTGGGAATGCAAGCTGGTGCAACCACTCTGGAAAACAGTATGGAGGTTCCTCAAAATTTGAAAATAGAGCTACCATATGATCCAGCAATTGCACTACTGGGTATTTACTCCAAGGATACAAATGTAGTGATCCGAAGGGGTACGTGCACCCCGATGTTTATAGCAGCAATGTCCAGAAGACCCAAACTATGGAAAGAGCCAAGATGTCCCATTGACAGATGAATGGATAAAGAAGAAGTGGTATATATATACAATGGAATATTATGCAGCCATCAAAAGGAATGAGATCTTGCCATTTGCAATGACATCGATGGAACTGGAGGGTATTATGCTGAGCGAAATATATCAATCAGAGAAAGACATGTATCATATGATCTCACTGATATGAGGAATTCTTAATCTCAGGAAACACACTGAGAGTTGCTGGAGTGTGGTGGGGGGTGGGAGGGATGGGGTGGCTGGGTGATAGACATTGGGGAGGGTATGTGCTATGGTGAGCGCTATGAATTGTGTAAGACTGTTGAATCTCAGACCTGTACCTCTGAAACAAATAATACAGTATATGTTAAAAAAAAAAAAGAAGATAGCAGGAAGGGAAAAATGAAAGGGGGAAATCGGAGGAGGAGATGAACCATGAGAGACTATGGACTCTGAGAAACAAACTGAGAGTTCTAGAGGGGAGGGGGATGGGGGGATGGGTTAGTCTGTTGAGTATTAAAGAGGGCACGTACTGCATGGAGCACTGGGTGTTATATGCAAACAATGAATCATGGAACACTACATCAAAAACTAATGATGCAGGTGCCTGGGTGGCTCAGTCATTAAGCATCTGCCTTCGGCTCAGGTCATGATCCCAGGGTCCTGGGATCGAGTCCTGCATCGGGCTCCCTGCTCGGCAAGAAGCCTGCTTCTCCCTCTCCCATTCCCCCTGCTTGTGTTCCTGCTCTCGCAATCTCTCTCTCTGTCAAATAAATAAATAAAATCTTTAAAAAAACAACAACTAATGATGTATAGTGATTAACATAACATAACAAAATTAAAAAAAAAAAGATGAAGCATGTACCTTTCCAATAAATGCCATGGCATTTGCACTCCCAGCCTTTGCTGCCTTTAAGAAGTAGTATAATGCTTTCTGGAGAGAAAAGGGACAGTATTATTGACAGTCACAAACATATCCTACAAAATGGCTTTTCAGACCAAACTTTATTTCATTTAACATGCATTCAAAAAGTATCTATGAAATGCGCACACTGTTTAAGGTACTATTTCAAATCTATTTCAAACATAAACCTGAAGAGTGGGAGCTATATATGGTTCACATATATAAATTTAAAATGTGAGGACTTGGTTTTTCGCATGTGGAAAGGCATGATGGGCATGTGGCTTTGTGGAGGACAGATGGATCCCAGCTCGAGAACTACATAGTCTATTATTTTGAAAAGTATGCTTCGATGTTGACACTATGTACTTATTTTATAAGACGGTTTGTACAATTTGGTAGAATTGGATATGTAGCTTCCTAATGTTTATAAGGCAGAGTGAATAAAACAAGACACATCTGGCTGCCTGCTGAGACCAGGTCTTTTTACAGAGGTAAACTTCAGGCCAATTCTTTCTAAATCAAAATGAAGGAGGCCAGCCAAGCCTCTGATTCTCTTTAGGTCATAACATTAACTGAAATGCTCAGTCTAGGGGCGCCTGGGTGGCTCAGTTGGTTAAGCGGCTGCCTTCGGCTCAGGTCATGATCCTGGGGTCCTGGGATTGAGCCCCTCATCGGGCTCCCTGCTCCGCAGGAAGCCTGCTTCTCCCTCTCCCTCTGCCTGCCTCTCTGCCTACTTGTTCTCTCTCTCTCTATCTCTCTGTCAAATAAAAAAAAAAAATGCTCAGTCTAGAACATATAAGGGCTGACCTGACCCTTACGGCCCATTCCCTAGGCCTCATCTTGACCTCTTAGAAGTTCTCCTCAGAAACCACATGAAGCATTAAAAGAAATCCACCACAGGAATGAGGAATGAAGACACTCTCTGAAGTGTCTTTTTAGGACACAACTCTTCTGCTCTTTAAAAAGCCTTGACTAGGTTGATGTGCAAGGATCTGCTCCTCCTCAAAGAGAAGAGAAGGTTTAAGGAAGAAATGTGAGTAGTTCTTTTATATGTAAATTTATTCCAGAAATATTGCCAATTTATTTGGGAGCCACACCCTTGTTCTAAAGTCAGTCTGCCTTGTGGACATAACTAAATATAAATGCCACCAGGGCTGTACCTCACCAAACCATACACCCATGCATCCATCCACCTCTTCTAGTCTTCATTTATTCTTTCAGAAACTTGATTGAAAAGAGCTATGTATATGGTAGTATGTTAAGTTATTATAGGTGTGTCACAAATGAATAAAAAATACCATCCCTACATTTGCTGTCTACCAATACTGCTGAGAAGAAAGGCATATATGCAAATAGCAATGACAGTAGATGAGAGGTGGGAACAAAGGAACACCAAAAAGAATTAGAGAGGTATGGCATAACAATTATACATATGTGTTTTACAATCTTTGTCTTACCTAATCTTCACAACAGCACTAGAAGAAGGTACTATTAATATCTGAGCCAATTTTGTGACACTCAAAGTCAAGCAGCTGGTACTAGAGTTCCATAAGCAGCCTGATTCCAATTTCCATGCATTTAGTACTCTGCCTTCATGGTGTCAAGAAAGAGACTCAAATGACAAAGGTCTCACAAAAAATGGAGAGAATTCACCAGTGCAGAGGGCATCATAGGCTGAGGAATAACATGAGTAAGGAATGGAGATAGAAATGTCCAAGGTGTGTCTAGGAAATACTAATTACTTCAGTATGGCTGAAGTAGAATACCCAAAAGCTAAGACTTGCAAGAATATGATGGGGCCATATTTTAGCAGTCTTGAATACTAGGCCAAGGCTTCTATTTTCTTTGGTAGAAAATAGAAGCTGTTGGAAATTTATGAGCATAAGGGAATCTTAAAACAACAAATGATGTCCAAAATGTCCAGAATAACCTAAGTGTCAGTTGGATAGGAGGAAATTGTAGCAATGTATGATTTATCAATCATCTATCAGTAAACAAATCAAATGTATGATTTACCAATCACATTTATCAGACCCCATTAATATAGAAAATGAAGGTATTTCTTACGAATGCCTCTACTGAGCCAAGACCCAAATATACCTATAGGCAACTATCATGGCAAGCATCCATAGCTTTAAATGTCTGAATCCCCTGTACTTAGCACAGTGTCTAACTGTATATCTGGCACTTAGGAAATATTTCTGGAATGAATGCATGAGCGAGGGAATGGAAGGATAAGTTTATAAATCTCTAAAACAGGGGAACTGGATTTTAAGCTTTATAGTCGCTCATACTGGGATTCTGTGAAATAATTTTCAAAGTCCAGTTTCAGAATTTGGCTCTCAAAATATTTGGCAATAGAAAATCTTGGGAAAAAATTGTCACTCTGAGAAACTATATTTGAATTGTTAAAAGAGAATAAGCAAATAGGAATCAGAAGAAAATAAGAATCCTGGAGTTTTCCCCATCTTTCAATATGATGATCCCATAAAGACAAAGGAATTGAAGCTTTCTCTAATTTCCCCTTCTACACCCTTCCACTTTCACGGTTTACTTGACATTTCAGTTCTCTTTTATTTGTCTTTAAATTAACCTGCCTTTAGCGCTATTGCTTTAATTGTATGAACATTTACTAAACACTATGTGAAAGTATCATGCACGTTACTTTGATGAGTCTTTGCTTTCAAAGAGTTAAGTATCCATTCATCCATCTATCTGTCAATCCATCCATCTACCCATCCATCCATCTTCCCATCCATCCATCCATCTGCTGTGGTCTGCATATTTGTGTCCCTTCAAAATTCATAAGTTGAAAACCTAACATCCAAAGTGATGGTATTAGGAGGTGGGACCTTTGGAAGGTGACTGGCACAGAGCTTTCATGAATGGGATTAGTGCCTTTATAAAGGAGGCCTCAGAGAGCTAGCTCATTCTTACTGTTATGTAAGGATACAATGAGAAGTCCATAAACTAGAAGAGGGCCCTATCCAACCATGCTGACACTCTGATCTCAAACTTCTAGCCTCTGGAAATGTGAGAAATAAGTTTCTGTTGTTTATAAGCCACCCAGACTATGGTATTTTGGTTATAGCTGCTAAAACAGACTAAGACACCATCCATCCTTCCTTTAAATATTTATTGAGCACCTACTGTCATATTTTACTGATTCTAACATGTACCCCCACACACACTTTAATCAGGACACTTCTTACTATCAATGGCATCATATAATTTATATTGGCAGTGTTTTTTTCTTTCTCAATAGAACATAAAATAAGGTATCTTATAATTGATGGTGTCGTAGATAGGATGAAATATAGTATGTCCCAGGTATTATGCAAAGTGATATGTTATTATTTAAACACATATCTTCTTAAAACAATGAGCATGATTTTTCATTGGTTCGAGAAAATTCCTAGGTTTAATCAGTTTGTAACATTTCCCCTAGAATGAAATGCCAAGAAAATGTATTACTTTAAAAATATTTATGAATACTTCTTTTATCTCAAAATCTGTAAATCATTCTGAGAAGGGATGAAATTATCTCTTGTCTTTTTAATGGGTGTCAGGGTAGACAAAGCAGTTGCCCTTACATATCTGGTATTATGCCTCTGCTAGGTTTAATTTAATTATGCCATATCCACTTTATTTTTTTTATTAACATATAATGTATTATTTGTTTCAAGGGTAAGGTCTGTGATTCATCAGTCTTACACAATTCACAGCACTCACCATAGCACATACCCTCCCCAATGTCCATCACCCCCATCCCTCCCACCCTGCGATATCCACTTTAATAATACGCACTCAAATACCCAGCTTTCCTAATCCAATTTATTCTGAGCCTGTATAAATTTAGGAATGCAAATTACATTAAAATATATGTGTAGAAATTCTAGATAATGTAATCAAGGATTGCATATACAATATTTTTCAGTAATTAAAATTTGGTAGTGGGGGAGGGAGAGGTGAAAATGTTGCCTATAGTGAGAACTCATGAGAGATTAATTTAATCAAACAATGAGAAGAAAAAAAAAGGCAAACTAGTTTTTTCCCAGTATTTTAATACTTGATTTGCTGGGCAGTAAACTGGGCATTACTTACAATTATAAAGAACCTTACACTAATAATTTTCTTCGGTGGACTGAAGCATTGGCATACTGGCTCAAGTGGTGGTTCTCAGGCTGAGGACCAACATATAATGCTTAGGATGCTATCACTCATTCATTCATTCATTCACTAAATACCAAGTACCTAATATGTACCCAGTACTATCAGAGTATAGGATACACAGGAATGAGCAAGACAAACAAGAACTTACATTCCATTGTGGGGAGCCAGATAGTAAACAAGTCAAGATCTATATGATTCAGGGGGTGATATGGGAAAAGGAAAACAAACACCGTGATAGGATAAGTGGTGGAGAGGAGAGATGATCAAGAAAATCCTCTCTAAGGAAGTAAGACTCAGAAAGATGAGAGGCCAGCCGTGGGAAGAGTTGTAGTAACAGCCTTTCAGAAACTAGGTTTTTCCTTTTAACTTCTCTCACTCCCATGCCACTTCAAGTTGATCCTAAGCTGTGGTAAGGTGCAAAAATGACCACAATACTTCACAGTTGTGCCTATTAAGAGAAGTCCTTTTCCCCTGCCCCTTCAATGTTGGCTGGCCTTGTAATTTGCTTTGGCCAAAAGAATGTGGTAGAAGTGATTTGTGAGTTCCAACCCTAGGCCATAAGAGACTTTCGTGCTTGTCTTCTTAGAACCCTGGGCTGCCATGTGAAAAGCTTGGGCACAGTTGGCTGGAGGAAGGGAGCATGTGGAGAGTCCTAGTCATCCTAGGTCACAGATGAGGCCATCATAAACCAGCCAGCCCTGGCCAATACTCTACAGATGCATGAGCAAGCCTAGTCAAGATTGGTTGAGCCTGGCTGAGACCAGAAGAATTACTCAGCTGAGCCCAGCCAAAACTGCTAACCTGACAAAATCATGAATTAAATAAATGGTTGTTGTTTTAAGCCATCTAAATTGGGGAGTGGTTTATGAGGCAGCCTAAACTAACGTATACAAAAGCCAATCAGTCTTTTTTTTAATGTTGAAATTTTTTAAAATTTTATTTTATTATGTTATGTTAGTCACCATATATTACATCATTAGTTTTTGATGTAGTGTTCCATGATTCATTGTTTGCGTATAACACCCAGTGCTCCATTCAATACGTGCCCTCCTTAACACCCATCACCGGGTTGACCCATTCCCCCACCCCCCTCCCCTCTAGAACCCTCAGTTTGTTTCTCAGAGTCCATAGCCTCTCATGGTTCATCTCCCCCTCCGATTCC